GGACCAGGCATGACTTCCAAAGTATTTGTGATGTCACAAATCTTGTCACAAAGCTTGTAGGCCCTGCCCCTTAAAATCTGATTTTCAGTGAGCACAAAGAAACGTTACACTTTCAGCAGATGAATGTGAAAACATCCTTCTAGTGTCAAAAATCGTGCACAGTCAAACTCAAACATCCAATTGAGGAACAAGAATAAATGCTGACTTTTTAGTGAAGGGTGACAATTTAAGCACTATTAGTATTATGTATAAATTGTTGAAATACAGTAAATTGCTAATTACATATCGATCTTAACCATGGATTCACCTCTCTGCTTGCTTGCTTGCTAGCTATGTAATGTTAGTGTTCACGTGTTACAGCTGACCCACACAAAGCTTCTCTCCAGTCTTTCCAAGGACCCCCTGGTAACTACTACACAAATGCCCACTGGGGTAATAGTACCCCTGGCCAGAAATCACTGCTCAAAAACAATTTGTTTATGGTCACGTAACAGTACTACCCTCTACTGGCCATAGGAATTATGACTCTTTTCTGTTATTTTATTATTGTTATTATTATTGTTATAGAGCCACAAAGTCCACAGAGGCAAGAGGTCAGGGTGGGCGGATGAGATTGCTGTTTGTTTCCTGTTTCCTACCTACTGTCAACAACGGTTTCTTTTAACTGACATCATTACCTATCAGTCTATTTTTAGTTGTTATTGTTGGCTCAGGTTAAGCCATCTCAGACTTTGTTGCAAGCAGAGATGTATCAGCAGTGTTGCGTTACTATGACAATCAGTGACCACGAGTTGTTGACACCGGTCATAACTGCTGCGTAAACTTTATTGTATTATATCGCTCATTTCTTCTGTTTTGATATGTGTAAAGTAACACATAAAATATCTCATAAAATATCCTAAAATAGCCTTCGCACCCCTCTCGCATCATTTCTGGATGCACTGGGCTCCCTGGGCAAGTTAGAAAAAATACATTTAAATGACCTTGCATAACTTAAGTAGGTTAAATAGGTTATCTTATGTATGTAACTTTAAAGAAGTCAACTATTACTTTTAGTTTCAAACAGGACACGGACAGCGGTCTCCTGGTAAAGTCCTGTTTGTTTAAGCTATCCAGCCACCCCACCACCTCCATATGTGGACGATGTCTCTTTATACTACATCTAGCAGCTGTGTCCATAAATAATGCAAATGTAAATGTTCATGTAAATGTCACCTTGTTTTGTTTTATTGTGAAAAGATATTAACACGGCACTTGTGTGTTGATATCATGCACAGATCTGTATTATAGTGTTTCCTTTGGCTGATCAGTCTAAAGATAGGAAGTCACATGGGACTGCTGGTTGGTTCCAGTGTAATAAATCACTCTACCTTTGTGTGTGTGTGCACATTGTGTGTGGGTTTGTGTGGCAATAAATCACCCCATGCAAACCAGTCACAGTGTGCTCTGTATGTGTGTGCATGTGTAAACATGCATGTATTGATGCATGCTGGAGTACTGTAGTGGTTATTACCCATTTCTTAGCTCTACCATTCATCACCAACCTTGGCTGTTCATTCTCTGATGTCCTATACATCACAGCAGTTCCTCAGCTATGCATCAACGCTCATGAAAGAGGCAGACAGTAATAGATGAAATGCAGGCTTGACATGCTCCCCCCATGATATTATATTCATATCATGAAACTTTCTAGTGTAACTTTTATGAAATTATGTTCAGATAATTTTGTTTAACATCCACTGTGCAACTACTTAGCCTTGGTGTTTTTAGACACATAACAGCCCCCACGAGGAATATTGCCTTCTTGTTGAGCAATGGAGATATTAACACGCCTTAACAGCCTCTCACTCTGGTAACCATGTGATCCTAGTGATGGGTAATTGTGATGACATGTTAACGCATTAGACGTCTCCCCAGCTGCATTATTAAACTCTAAAATGAGATATCCAGGCCCTTTATTGAACGATCACAGGGAGAAAAATGTTTTCATTGCAGCGTGAATTAATCCATGGTACCAACAACTGCTTCATACTGTCATGTGCATCATCAGCAAGGATTTTTATCAGTACACATTGTTTTAAATGCTGTTTCATACGTGAATATGTATAAATATATAAAATAACAGTGATATCTTATGATGTCATTATGTTGTAGCCTTAAGACTTAAGCATCCATCTCCTCTGACATTCTACCATATGCATCTCCTCTGTGATCAATAGTAAAACCTAAAATGGGATGAAGGCTTTTACCTGGATTGATGTAATCTGTTTCACTTCATGCAAGCAAAGTGTTCTTAATTTTCTTTTTTATGTAGGGCAACTCCTGTCTATATGTTTTCATGATCTTCTGTAAAGGAAAATTCATTGTTCGCGTTACATTGTAAAAAAAGTGTTAAGATCAATTAACACATTTACATACATGCAAAAACATATGCAGTTAGTAAAGATACAGATACTAAGCAATTTCTTTTTTAATTGTGTGGACTTTAACAAACTATATGAGAGGAAATCAAAGTCTTTCAAAGGTTATGTCATATATTACATAATTTACTGTAGCACTGAACATGTTTTTAGTTGTTTGTCGAGTGATGCACTTCTTGGGTTTATTTTCCTGCAGAGATTGAATACACTTACTGTACAGTGCCTTGGACAAGTGTGTCTGCTAAATGAATGTTATATTTTATTTTTGGCAAGTGCTATTAGCACCAAGGTATTGTAGCCAACAATGCTATTTGCACCTGGGCACACAGTTTGTATATGTTGTGTTTAATGTACCCTACCTTTCAGAAGACTGCTGTTTGTGTCCTGTGTGAAACCAAAATCCAACTCTGACTTATTATTTTAACTCAAACCATGATCTTTTCCTAAACCTAACCAAGTAGTTTTGTTTTCTACCCCTAACCATACTGTTACTGAAAACTGAAAAAGAAACTAAAAAACAAACAAACCTGGAAATAAGTCAACACTGAATTTTGGTTTCACATGGGATTTCACCCCCTGGTCTCCTGGGGGAAAGTGGGTTCTACTAATTCATCCACCACTACCTCATCACCTGATTTCTTAAAGGCTTTCTGCGAGTAAATAGCTGAATAGCTGCCATGTGACTATTCTCACCCAGGTGCAAATAGACACTGTAATTGTGATTGTGATTTACGTATCCATATTTTGGGACTCAGCTTTGAATTAGAAACCTATTGACACAAAAGACATTACTATTATATGACCTATGTAACCTTGGCAACAATAGTTAACGTTAGAGACTGAGAAAACGCAAACCGGTTCTCAAGTTGAACCAACTCTGGATCAGCACTTGCGCCAGCTAGTTGTTAAAAGGGGGTATATTTGTTCCAAAACAGTGCCATGGAAGTGTTTGTCTTTTTCTCCCAACTGTATTGTGTCTCTATTTTTATTTCTGACCTTGCTAATCATCTATGTCCATCATGTGTTCAAAGTAGATGCACAATGCACAAGACACAGAGTGAAGCCATTAGCTTGGCAAGCTAATGCTTGCTAATGGATGAAATAAAGAAAAGATAAACTGCTGAGTCAAAAGTCCTGAAACCCAAGTTTGTTTCCCATTCTACGGAAGCCGAGAACGGCCATGGATTTTTTTTTATGTACTGTTATCTCGTGATAACGACTTATTAATTC